AAAAAAGAACTATGAGACTGATTGCAAATATACTCTCATAAGTTAAAAGACTTATTTCCTAAAAGACTAGTCGATACCCGAGACTAGTTTATGGAAAATTTCATGAACTTTCATTTCTCAAACCCGACRCAGTGCATAAGCAGCRTAATGAATCATCCTGCATAACTATGCCAAGCCATATAAATTTTACTTTCTTGCATATACTTTCTTTTTAGTAACCTATTTGTCCATACATTTTTTTTCTCATTCTCTTCAATACATGCCATCTCTTAACCCTTTTTCAGCACAATTTTATGGACTTTACTTCTCTTTCCACGCTTCATTTCTTTTCTCTCTCTCCTTACATTCTTGCAACTCTTTTCTGATTAGTTATAGAAGAATTTTTAGTAAATGAAAGCATTATAGAGGTTAAACCAACATAACGATCAAATTAGAAAATGGTACCAAAAAAGTTTTTTATGTTATTTTTTGAGACCAAAAATAAAAATTGTTGTTTTGTACTAAACTTGTTAAAAAACTATGTACTATAAGTCTATAAACTATGAAGATAGAAAAACAAATAACAAAAAAAAGAAAAATAATAATAATAATGAGAAGAAACAATTTCATTGATAATATGAGATTAGAAAAACAAAAGGGAGATAACCCCAATAAAAACCTCTCCACAGTGATGAAAAAGAGGGGAACATTTACACCAAAAAAAACGACTAAAAAGACTATTCAAAAAAATGATCAAAAGCATTACCAAATTAGAAAATGGTATTATCAAACAAATAAGAAAAAAAGAAAAACAAATAAATGCTAAACAGAYGAGACTACGATCTATATGGTCAATCTAGTTTTAAAACCTCAACCAAAACAATATAACCGAACCCAAAAATCCTCCTACTCATGTTATTACAAACTGATAAAGAAACATCAACATTTCAAACAAAAAAATGGTCAATTCAATTCAAAGAACGCCCAAATCTTAAAATAAATTGAGCTATTTCTTTTACAAGCTATATAGTATATAAATTTATCGATTATGGGGATTTCCTGCACTAATTTAGTACAGGTCTAAATTAGCTGATAAATAATAACGATTYAGACTTCAGAGCATCAAAATTATAACACATAGCGAAATATGAAAACAAAAGTAGATTATATTTGGCACTACCTTCCAGTCAGACCCACTTAAGAACCAAAGACTAAATAATTAAACGAAGAAAAATTGTACCTCTTGAGTAATGAATGTCCATTTTGAATCCAATAATGCATCTTTAGACTGTGATGGAAGGTCCTTTTCAATTTCTTCGAAAATCAGAGGTAGCCCATCTGTACACTTAACAAAATTAGTATAGTGAATGAGCTAAATACTCCAAGATATCAGTACGAGCARATTTATTTATTTTAATAAGAAACAGAAATGTATTAAGTTATTAACCACAAAAGGCCACAAACAACCTAAGGGAAGGGGATGAGAGAGCCTCTCCCAAGAAACTAGTGCATTACAACTTTCCAATCCTAATAATCATCGTGGGACTGTAGTTACAAAAGAGAATTTTCTATGGTTTATAGACATTTAAATGCATAAATCCTGAATTCTCCACAAAAGAATTACAAAAGAATCCTAAATTTAAATGCATAAATCAACATTTAAGTGCAGCAGTCTACATATTATAGGATAATTTGGAGTGGAAACTTGAAAACAGGTTTAAATTATAATGGAGATCTATCATTGTCATGTCATACTAGACAATAAAGTATCTATATTTCCTTTATTTCCTGATATTTCTAACTTAAGAATACAACTTTCCAAAAGATCGTAAGATTGTCGTGTTTAAAAGATTATAAGTTCATATGCAAAGAACTTATATCGAACTTTAATTATTTAATGCTCAATATAAGAAGCTTTGATCTCAGTTGTCTAGTTATTGGATACTTTGGAAAAGAAAAGATAAATTTATTTTCAACATATTATTTACTATAGAAAGCTTAGAGCTGTCTCATACCAACAAAAGACATGCACTAATCCCCCAGTGAAGACCATTCAAAAACATTAACCAGAGAAGAACTGATAAAGAAGGACCAATACTGAATGCACTCTGGATATTAAATAGGTAATCGTACCGCTAGAGGACAACTTACTTCTGTCCTTTACAATATCAATGGACGTACAAATAGCTATTCATTTGAGAAAAAAAACAATAAAACTTCAGAACATCTAACCCTACAAAATGGATATTCCGTACCTCATATTTCCTAAACCATATAACACCAAAGAGGGAAGAGATAAAGGGTGGAAATGAGTTGATGAAGAAGATAAAGTACATGCATTAAACCACTCAACTTCAACATGTAAGTGATATTCTAGAATTTGCAGCTTTGTAAGCCAAGGGATAGTCAAAATGATCCATGTACCTCAAGTGAATAAACTGGGTGACATGGAATACATAGGACTGACTAGCAGATCAAACAATAATCAAATTGCTATAACCAAAAAGCACCAACTTCAAGAACAATTAAATATTCAGAAATATACAAAAACAACACCAAATATGCTCATTCTTTCCTGATTTGTGAGTGACAAATCTAGGATGAGATCGACAAATCTAGGATGAGATCACAAGGTTTCAAGAGCATAAGGATGATGGTTCTTATTTCTCCCTCTTTTTACACTTTCCACCTAACAACAAAAATTAGTTTCTTATCTTTTTAAAAGAAGGGAAACGAGCAAGGACGATGGTTCTAGGAAAAAGAGTTATTAAAGATTAGTCTACATTGGCAAAAATTAAGGTCTTGAAAGATTTTATGGGGGATTAAACCACTTAGAATAAACCATGGTTATATTCCAAGATTTCCCAGATTCCAAGATTTCCAATTCGTTCCACCCAATCACATTTTCAGAATGCATACGTTTACTATTTAAACAGAAGTAACGCTCAATCACATTTTTGGAATACCATATTCAAATTTAAAAAACAATAATTTCTAATTATAGGTACTCGCTATAAATCGGACAGTTATATATTAACAAACAAATATTAACATCAGTACGCATCACTCTATTTATTTGCAAAACCCCAACAACTTTCATGTTGACAAATGCACCAAAAAAAAAAAAACAATTTTACTAATGCATGATCTCCACTCTGTGGTTAGTCAGGCCACTTCTAAAATTGCATACCACTACAGTAAGCACGAAAGTATAGTACTAGAACACCATATGATGCACAGTGCAGAATGTGAAAATCATAGTAATGTACTTCTTGGTGATCACTTGGGGATGAGACCTTCAGAAAAACAAGAATCATTAACAAAGACAGCAGATGTCACTCAAGAAGTGTAATACCAACAGACAAATCAAGATCATCAATTTTAGAATGCAATGCACGTACTAACGTAGCTTCATCGAGAAACTCATTGTTGTACCCAGCAGTCTCTCTTTCCTCAGAGCACTCTCCTTTCTCCTGTTCATTCCATAGAAAATATAATAAAGGAAACAATGAGGAATGATGGAATTGGCATATTGCTAAAGGGAAAAAGAAGGGCCATTAAAATGGAAGAAGCAAACCTCGAGTGGCCTCAGAAGGCATATTTTCTCCAAAGATAAGTATCCTTCCACCTACAAAAAAGGCATATATGTTGAGATTCTGAGAATCAATGATACCTTCAATTCTCCATAAATTCTCCATAAAGTGAACCAGTGATATCTTAGCCTAAAGAAGAAGAAACTTAACCTTATCAGAACTAATCAATTGTAGTTTCTGACCTGGAACCCATGACCATGAAGGAAAATCAGAGTTGATCAATTTCCATCTCTGAAGAAAAGCAGAAGCAGCCTTGTAAAAATCACTTGATGAGATAGTTCCATCCCAAGCTAAAGTATCCACCGTTGTTTTAAATGTACCAACCTAAGGGGAAATCACCAATGGAAAAAGCGTTAAAATGGAACAAAAATTTGAGGCATACCAATTCAATTATAAAGCCAAATAAAC